GGATCGTGCGATCGCATCCTGTGCTGCCCTCTGGTTTCGTACGTTAGCTTTCACCGTTTTTTGCCTCCAAGGGCGGCGCAACGAATTTCTGATAGAAGCTCGCGCACTCGCGATGGCGGTACCATCTATCAGTCGCCGTTGGCGGCTCACGTACTCGTGATGGTAATACCATGCGGCAGTTGACGGTGGTGGCTTATCTACGCTTACCGATACTGCTCGTTTTTGATGGTAAGGGAAGAACACTCGTGACGCTCCAGTTGAATTTATCTACTTATCTACTACTATTAAGTACATTGTTGCTTCGAAGACAACGTGATGCGGAGCTTTGGGGCACGTGTCGGTGTCGCGTACGGAACCCTCATGCAGCGAATCTGTGTGAGTGCGATCGCTCCTAGAAATCTTCGCGCGTCCCAACCAGTCAAGCGCCAAGCTACGGGTCTAGACGTTGAGTATGTGTGCGTTCGGCGCTACACTCGACGAGTATGCGTGAGAGTCGAAACTACGAAAAATCCTCCCTAGGCTTACCTAACCGCGGATATAAGCCGAGTCATTTTGCGTATGATTTTTACATTTCCCTACTAGCGATATCGAGCGTTTCAATTGTTACGGCTGCGCGTGCGGGCACGTGGTTCCGGTAATGGAGCAGACGTATATGTGAGGTTATGTTACCAGCCACTCCACATACTAAAAGAAAATGTTAGGAAGAAAAACGATTAGAATTTCTTGGTGTCAATTTCGTAATAGAGCTTTGCATAAGCAAGCGTCTAATCTAACTATTGACAATGAAAAACTCAGTTTATCAAAAATACGAAACATTGGAATCTTGGCCCATATCGATGCTGGTTTGTATTTTAATTCTCTTCTATTACTACATACTATTGTGTTCGTGATATTCTGTTATTTAAGGAGAAGAACAGTTAATAGTTATGAAAGTTGGGTAAAACTATTTTTTAACCTATATCAGGGAAAACTACAACAACAGAACGGATGCTTTTCTACTCGGGAACTATCCATAATATGGGAGAGGTTCATCATGGAAATACAGTAACGGATTATATGGACCAAGAACGGCAGAGAGGCATTACTATTACTTCTGCAGCAGTTACATTCAACTGGAAAGATTATAAATTTAATCTGATCGATACTCCTGGTCATATTGACTTCACAATGGAGGTAGAGCAAACTCTAGGGGTTCTCGATGGAGCTGTGGTTATTTTAGATGGATGTGCCGGTGTAGAAGCTCAAACGATAACTGTCTGGAGGCAAGCGGATAGGTATGATATACCTAGGATTATGTATATAAACAAAATGGACAGGGTAGAAGCAAATTTACAAGCAAACTTAAACTCTATTCAAAATAAATTAGAAACAATTCCATTGCCAGTACAACTTCCAGTTAAAGACGATACAGGTTTAGTTGGTATTGTCGATGTACTAACATTTGAAAAAGTTACTTTTAATAAAAAGAATCAAGGAAAGAATTTCATGCGAGAACCGCTGACAGAGTCAAATGATGGAAAACTGTGGGAAACCGCAAGTGAGATACGTAGAACATTAACAGATAAGTTAACGAGTCTGGATGACGATTTAGCAAATGTTGTCATAGAACAGGAATCTTTGGATGAGATTCCAGCCCAGGTGTTAGCAGATTCTCTACGCAAGGTTACCATCGACAGAAAAGGAGTACCCATCCTTCTAGGTAGTTCGTACAAAAATATTGGTGTTCAGCCATTAATGAATGGTGTCATTTTATATTTACCTTCACCAGACACATCCAAACGATCCAAGGTATATAACTGCTTTAATAGAAATCTTTCCGCCAGAGTGTTTAAAATTGTTCATGACAAACAAAGGGGACCGATTTCATTCTTCAGGATATACACAGGAAAATTGACAAAAAGTCAAAAGGTGTATAACGTACAAAGAGAAAAGACAGAAGTAATCGGACGATTGTATACAGCCTATGCTGACAACTATGAAGAAATTCCTGAAATCAATCATGGAAATATAGTTGCAGTTACAGGATTGAAGTCTACTGTTTCCGGCGACTTGATAACATCGTCTGCTTCTGTCGCGAATCGTGCAAAAGAAAGTTTACAAAACATTAATTCTACTGAGGCTGAAAATTGTTTTACTGTCGGTACAAATGTGCCAGATCCAGTCTTCTTCTGTGCCATCGAACCACCATCCTTGTCGTACCAAAGTGCATTAGATGTTGCGCTCGAGGAACTGGGAAGAGAGGATCCTAGCATGCGGGTATCACAGGATGCAGAAACCGGTCAAACAATCCTCGCAGGAATGGGAGAACTACACATCGACATAATTAAGGAGAGGATTAAAACAGAATATGGCATCGAAGTGGATCTAGGACCTTTACAGATCGCTTACAAGGAGACCATAAATAGTCCCATAAAAGATTCGTACTCTTGTCAGCATAAAATCGGTAATCTGAAACACAGTGTGAATATTACTCTTTCTCTCATACCCGACTACAAGGAAAAGGAGATCCTCAAGTTCGATAGGTCACGAGAGTCTGCAGCAAATATCGCAGCCATTAATCCAAAACTAATACAAGCTATAAAACTTGGAATCAATGCTGGTTTTGCCAATGGACCCCGGTTACATTGCCCTGTCATCAACGTTGGAGTGATATTACATTGGCTGGAGGTTGGTCGAGGCACATCGGACACAATAGTGTCCGCAGCTGTTACGCAGTGCATTCAAAAGGTAATTGCATATTTGTTAGAATCTTTAATGTTCTTTGCTTCCAGGCTGAATATTTCGAAGCCCATTTAAAGTAGTTTCCAGACTTTTGAAATTCATCCGAGGTATTTCACATTCAAATTGTTTACGATGCACTGCATAGACTTTATATTTTTCCATGAGTGAACTATCCATGGATGGCTTTGGCGGTTCCTTGATATTAGATCTTGTGTCCTTCCCAGACATCGTTTCCTTTTCATTTTTCTTCAGTTTCTTCTCTATATTGCTACTTTTCTCCACCGTGCCAGGGAATGCAACGTGTCGAAGATGTGTTATCGACGGAACTTCATATCGCTTTAAGAACGTTCCTTCGTCAACCTCTCCGGATTTACGGGAAACAGGAGCGCAGAGATTATTCCCCACGCATTTTGAGATGAGACCAGAAGACATTGTCTTTTGCTTTCTCACGTCGACCGAAGGCAGGATATATTTCTTGGGTCTCAGTTTCCGTGCCAGGTCCAGATACGAAGACTCCTTTATCCGCCTGCTTCGAAGGAAATCGTTGATCGATTTGGCGCACACCGACTGGAGGGATTTCAAGAATCTCAGATTCTGCCCAGTTGAGAAATCCTGAAGGAACTCGGAGCCGGAAGTGTAAGCTCTCGCGGTCACCTTTTCTTTACCTCCAGGCTGAAGGCTGTTCAATTTCGAGGGACTCGCATTCCGGGGAGATCCGTGCTTACGATCTCTTCCCGATAAGCCACGGGTCTGAGTGCTGCTCTCCTCTAAATGTATACCCCACTTAGCCATATACAAATCTAAGAATCCTTGACACAATTCTGGAGATATTTCAGACTCTCCGTAGTGCCTATCAATAAAGTACACTCTTCGCAGTCTGCAATTAGCACATATCTCCAATCGCCGAGCAGTCTTGTATTCGCAGCGAAACGCAGAAGTCGTTAGCTGCCGAAGGTCGAGCTCCAACTTATTCCAGCCAGATTGAAGTTTCACGTTGACCCGACTGACCACTGAAGCTCGTGTGCTTAGATCCTTCTCGGACTCTTCGCTGCAGAATACGAATCTGTGGGAATTCCTCTCCGTGTCAGTCACCTAAACACCGAATCAACTGAGCACGCCTTGTGACAAAAAAAAAAAGGCAAGAACTCATCAACCAAGGCCATTTACTTGCAACTGAAACCTGCAATCGACGTTCATGTACTTAATGACGATGACCATGAAAGGCAACGCAATGTTAAGAAATTGGCGTGGGCTGGACGGACAGATGATAGACGTGTTGGCGATGCTCGTTGGCTCCAGATCCTGAATTTCCACCACCTGAAAATACATTTATTGTCGCTAGCATAAGCAGCTCAAACTATTAGTATAAACGAACATACATTTTCGTACAACTCGGTGTCTAGGATCCTACGCACATGTCCCGTTTGGGACTGCCTTTTGCTCCAATAATCCAAGGGTTTCTTTCCGATGCTACACAGTAGCGACACATATCCGCCCACCATTCAGCCCACCCCTTGCTCTTGCCATTCATTCCTCCGTCCGTAATTAAAAATTTGCTAATTTAGATTTTGAGGTTCCTGCCATTTCTGGGATTTCCGGCCCCCTCGCGTTGAGCACTTGTTCCAGAATCCCGAGTATATGGGGTGATGAGTCATTTAAGTTGTCATATTTTCAACAGATGTTGGAGTCGACTAGCATCAGTCTGTTGGAGCCGATAATGCTGGTCGAGGTTGTAAGCTTGGAGGAAAAGTCTTCGGGTGTCCTGGCAGATCTCTCTCGAAGGAGATCCGAGATCCAAAAGATCACCCCAAGGGGACATAACAAGGTAAGGGGACTTAACTTTTTTTTTTTTTTCCCTCGTCGACGTATCGTCTCTAACGAGCAAACCGCAAATTATTCTCCCCGATTCCTAGGTAATCGAGTGTTTCGTTCCATTGGCGGAGCTACTCGGCTATTCCACGGCACTAAGGATAATCACTTCCGGCAACGCGACCTTCTCGATAGAGTTCGATCACTATCGGTCCATGGATCCGATGGACGAGGAAAAGGCCATTAGAAGAATCACCGGAATCTAGAAAGTAGCTTCCAGCAAAAAAACACCCATCTTGTATATAACAACGCAATATGTAAATAATTAGTCGATGATGTAGATTCGATGTAGGTTTGTGGTGCGTACCGCAATTAAAGCTCCACGTTGTAATGCGATAATGTTTAATCGTATAATTCGCGGCCTTACTCGGCCGCTCGAGAACTAAACAAAATATATTGCATCGTCAGTGGTGTACATTATACGTTTACACAATCATGAGATATCTCGCGACAATCGCCCGCACAGCCAACGCTGGTTACAAGTTCTGCCGAAGCAAAGAGAAAACCGCTAGCGAACTACTGAGAGAAACGTATCGTGTACCGGTATCACCGGTACCCACGGGCTGTCGTTTCACATAAATATATTAATATTGCTTATGATCATGCAAAAATGTCGTACGCTATAAAATATATATTATATGTATGGAGAGATTAAACATTATTTCAATATTGTTTGAGGTTTGCCACGCTCCGGCCGCTTAGAAAAAAAATCGAGTTAGGAGCGGAACGAGCTTCTTCGTCGTCGATCTTCGAAGACGTTTCGTTTGCTCTTAAAATTTTTTCCTCGCCGCTGGGAAACGTTGCCAGAAAGTGGTGCACTAAAGTCAAGAATCCGGCCACTCGAGAGTCCCAAGAGGTCGCGTCCGAGAGGCTATTAACTCAGAAAATCATGGATTTTCATCACAGAAATCACATGGCAATTATCTCGAAATCGCAAGCGGCAATCGCTGGAAATCGTTGGAGATCCATCGAAACATCACATTTTTATGGCCCGAAAGTCCCTCGTTACCGAATCACATTGTCGTTTATCATATGAAATCAAAGGCAATCGGTTCTGAAAGAAGAAAATCGTTTTCACTTGATTTCCGAGTGAGTAGTCCCTCGGCCGCATCCCTGTCGGGGGTTTCGATCTCTCCCCGTCTCGTTCGTTTCCAAAGACTGATCCGCTCCATGAAAAAGTCGCCCGCAAGGAGCATCCTAAAGTATCGACGGGTTTCCTTACAGTCTACTTATCGCTTGAGCTTAAATGGTCTTCTTAGATGCTATACTTTCGTTCGTTATTAATTATATAAAAATCCACGTCTTCCTCTCCTTAGATCCTAGAAGAAAAAAAAAAAGATGGAAAAAAAAAGTCAATCCTATCCGTCACACGCCTACTTTGTCGCGAAATCGCTAACGAATATCTCCATGACCACGCAGCCGATTCTAAGTAATCATAAGTCGCGCCACGTGGTTTCCTCAGGGTTCTCTCTCCGGGGGATCCGCGAGTTAAAAATACAACTTCAACCGAGGTCCCTCCCTGCACATTACCCACTTACTTGGGAATCCGACTTCGGCTCGAAAGAGGGTTTGAAAAGAAGCTCGCTAGTCCGCGGAACCTCCAACAGGCCGGAAAGAGGACGAGACCAAAGAGAATAACGGATAAATACTGAGATCGCGCAACGACTCGCGTGACACGCGGCCCCGAGCCACCGTGCACCGAATATCTTGAAAACATGTAATTTCCCACGACCGCGACCGCTCAAAGTCGCGCACCCAATCGGCTTTGGCTGTTCGCCCCTAATTATTGTATCGTTCGCGGTTTCTCAAAGCGTCCACAAGCTCTTCGGGGGATTGCTGGACGTCCTATTAGCTAACGAGACCCGAGGCGACGCCCTCGTCCCGGGTATCGGACCCCTCTCCGGCATCCCAGGGGAGAAAAAATACATTTATGGCAACGGGGTCGCGCAAAGCGACCCCCGGCAGGACCTCGAGGATCCTCCGGAGAGGAGGTCCCGAAGCGTCAGCGCACTCCGCCGAGCTACGGCGTCTCCGTGAGCATATCTTATTCAGGGTCGTCCTCGTTCGACCCGTAATCGGCCTCTTCCTGGCGTCACAAGCTGACCAGCTTCGGCGGGTTGGCGTCGGGCGAGCTCAGGTCGACGGCCGAGAGGTTGCTCCTCTGTTGGGTCGAGCAGGACGGCACCAGCGGCGTGGAGACCGGCGTCAACCCGGTGCCGCCCTCCATGAGCGAGTCGAAGTTGAAGAGGATCCCGCTAGACGGCGTCGTGATCGGCACGCCCGCCACCTCGGTCGCGGTCTTGATGAACCCCGTCGAGGGATCGACGTTCTTCAGCTGCAACGAGTCGGGCCGCTCCTTGGGCTCGGTGAATATCGGCAGCGAGTTCGGCCGATTGTTGTTCTCGAAGCCGACCGGCAGCGAGTTCGGTCGGTTCGGTCTGGCCGCTATTGGGTCTCTTTTCGCCGGCTCGACGAACTGGCCACCCCCGGGTCGGTCGGGCTTTATCACGGGCTTAACGTCCGGTGGAGAGGTCGAACGCAGTCGGCACACCGCCCGGTGGGCCTCCAGGATGAACTCCAGCTCGTCCTTCGCCTGCTGCAGCTGATGGATCTCGTCCTGCAAGCTCTGCTTCTTCTGTTCCAAGCCCTCGGTCTCCTGGAAACCGATCGACCCTGAATTAATACACGCAATCGCAACACGCGAGATCCTAACTCATGAGAGGTTCCCGACGTTCATCCCGAACCTCTGGATATAGAAACTTCAAATACCACAAAAGCTCCTCCCCGAGACGTACCCATATATACCGAAAAAAAAATTAAAAATTTTGAAATCTTACGAAATACCATTCCCCGATAGCGAGCGACAACAAATCCTTGTTAAACCTAAAATCCTGAAATTTGATAGAAATATATTTCTTGCCGAAATCCATTGCACGTCCAGGATGAGATTTCGATTCCCCGAATTAAGTGACGTTGGGTAAGAAATGAAATCCCGAAACCCCATGAGTCAGGAGCCCGATTATTAGGGGCCTCTGACGTTAAGGGATGAGAGATTGACTGATCCATCGATTAGTCTAACAAGACAGGGGTAAGTCTCTAATAAAAGAACCCTTACTTCTAGCAGGGCATTGGTGTGGTCCATCCTCCGCTTGCGGCACCTTGCTGCAGCCATCTTGTTCCTCTCTCTGCGAATCTGGCGTCTCTCCTCCTCCTCGGGGGTCATCCCAATGGTCCTGGTGGGTCTGCGGCCGCCCATGTTGCGCCTGGTCTGCTGCTGCTGTTGCTGCTGCGGCTGGGACTGTTGCTGTCCGTCCAGCAACACGTGGTGCACCGTGTTCTGGGTCTGAGCCGGGGTCGGCTGCGAGGGCTCCACCAGGGGTGGGACGAAGCCGGCTTCCCTGCTGTGGGAGGCCGACTCGCTCGTCAGCTCCAGTAACGTCTGTTCGATGCTCCTCAGGGTCGTGGGGGTCAGCGTGGGGGTCGTCCTGGTCGGCACTCCGCTGTGCAGGCCGTCCAGGGACACCAGCTGCAATCGAGTAAAGAGAGACCGGTCAAAAGATATCCGGGGTGATCCGCCGAAATTTCAAAAATGTCTCTCCTCCACGTAGGCGAGGCGACTCTCGGTTTCGCAATTTTCGTCATTCCGCGGACAAAACCAGGCGGTTTGCCCGCGGCTATCAGGCGGTCGGTATATCTCGGCTCTAAGGGAATGCGCATTCGATATCTGCCTCTCGGCTAGAGAGAACGAAATCCGATCGGCGCCCTCTTAACCGCAACGCCACCGACGCGTCCACCTGAGAGTCTTAAGGTGATACGAAAGTGTCATTCATATATACACGAAAGGTGAAAAAAATATTTATATTTTATTAAATTGGAGATAATGGATCGGTGACGGTGCACTGATCTGTACAGGGACGAGCGTGAATGTCTCCCATAGGGAGGAAGTACCGCCTGGGGAAAAGGAGAATGCCTGCATGTCCGACACTGTACAAACCGGAGACCGATCGGAAACGGATCGGACATGCGCAAATGGATCTTTACTCCCCCATGGAGAGGTGACTCAATTCCTATCACCGAGGTGGAATTCCACTTTGCACATCCACAAAGCCCTCTATTTCACCCGGTATTGAATTCGAGCGAACCGGCGACGCGATAATGAGCCAAAAGTCACCTCAACGCGCACGACGCTCTCCCGTATCGGCTATAACAAAGATGCGATATTTATAAGTACCCTCTTTGAGCGACGTTATCGGCGCGTCACGTGACAGGCTGGCCTGACAAAGACGAAAGTATCTGTCATTAATTTCGGAGCGGAGGACACAAAGAGAGGACCAAACCGCACGTATGCAGCGAAATATAGTCCCCGAGTCCTATCGATCCCCTGGAAACGATCCTCGACACAACAGACGATCCCTCGCGACTCCCGAAAAATAAGTCTCAACGTTCCACCTCGCAACGGGAGGATAAATTAAATCAATCCTTCCTCTTAAGGTGATGTGTGAAAGTGGCGTCAAAGAGGTCGCATTTATGAAACATCTCCAAACCGAGGGTACCGAATCGTATAAAACTTGACAATGCAAATATGGAGGATATAAGGAAGGTCCTGACACTCGTGAAATTTCATTTTTTATTAAGGGAAAAAAAAATGTTAAAAATGTCTACGAATAAAATTTTTACAAAAATTTTCATTTTCACAGGTGTTCGACTCAACGCGTGAGAGTTAATGAGATTAATCGTTACTATTGAGCATCCTAATGTAATCAGCGTTTCTCATTAACCAGTTTTTTTTTTTTTTAATACAGATACTGGAGCGCGCCCAGCTGATTTTGCGCGCGGGAGGAGTCGATAAAAATATCCATGATCCAAGAGTCGATAAGTTATCGCGCGAGCCAGGTAGAAGTTAGGGCACGTGCGATACTATCATCGCTAAAATTACCCGGGATCCTCGAACTGGACGATCTTTCGTGCCCCGTCTCTCTCCCTCGCTCCAGGCCTCTCTCTCTTTCTTTCTCCCGTGCAATTTCCCTGGGAGAGAAAGAGCGCGCGCAACGACCGTCGAGAGCAGGATATGCGCAAAGGGAGAAAGAGAGAAAGAGAGAGACGGAGAAAGAGGGAAGGTCGCAGGCTCGGCCACGAATGATATTACCGGCGTTTTGGGTCCCAGCTCACGTACACCTCGAGGTACGCAGCATACGTCGGGGCGACGTCGTTATCGCGCGGCTTTATCGCCACGCGCCGTTCCCCGGGATCCTTCCGCGAGGGGGCGGCGCCGTAAGGTCGCCTTTCGCGCGACCGGCCACGCGACACTCGCCCCTAAGGCGCCGCGGCCGAGTGGCCCTCGAGTCTCGGCCCGATCTTCGCGATTTTCCAGCTCGGCGAGAGCCTCGAATTTCCCGCGCGTGGTCGGCGCTAAAATTACTCGAGGTTCGCCGGCGATCGGCGGTGCCCACCCACGGGTCGTTGGAATCTCGAGTTTGACGTACTTCCGGGTAACCCGGTGACCCGTGCCAGAAATTCGGCGACTCGTTAACGTGGAAAGAAAAAAAAAAAAAAGAAAAATTGCCATTTCGTTCCATCGTAGAAAAGATATAATAAGAGCAACCGGCAAGACGACGCGCTCGTCATTTGCGTCTAAGTAAAAACAGAAATTCCTATCCGAGACACAACTAATTGTTATCAAAATTCAGAGCAAAAACTGCGCCTTAAAACGGTGCATAACCAGGATACATATATATCGAGGAAAAACGATTTTACTAGATGACAAAGTGCCGAACCGTAGCAAACCCAGCGGAAAGTTTCAGGCCAACCTAACATCACATCGACGCATCGTCGTTTTTATCTTGGGAGAGGAAGCGACCGGCAAGACAACGCGCTTATCGGCCCTGTTTACTCGGTCCGTAACATCGCGAACGGAGGAAAGCGGCATAACAACGCGAATGGGCGAGACCTCCCCCCGGCCCCGGGAGGAAAGCCTCCCTCTCCGTTCGCCCTGGCGACGAGGAGGAGAGCGCTTTCGCAAGGCGTTTATCGTTATCTCTTCCTGCCCTGATATTTCGTCGATCGCTGGCCAGATAATGGCGGCGGCACCCAAGTCGGCGAGCGCTCTCCTTTGTGCGAGCCGAGTCGCTCTCCTCCTCGTACAGGAAAAAAATCAGAAGACCCGTGGAATGCAAGTTCCCTCAGTCATTAGCGTCTTATCCCTCCCGCGTGCCGCGCGCGGATGACACGCGACGCGACGCAACCACCACCGCTCGTGCGGACGGTCCGTGCGCGCGCGCCACCGCCGTTCTATAAATAAACGCATTCGCCGTTCTAATCTGCATTGGGCTCGCGTTGCACCAGACAAAGGGTGATACCGGAGTTACCGCGAAATTGCGAAATGCCCCCGTCGATCTGCGACGTTTTCGCCCGCGGGCCCTCCGATCAAGACTGCCGGTCCCCAAATCATCGAATTATAGATTCTGGGCTCGTTATACGTGACGATAATTAGAGATCGTTCTCAAATTTCACGTTTACAGAGAATTTTTAGTCTTTCCCCGTGTGTAAGCCCCCAGGGACGCGGCGCGTTCTCCAAGATGGCGGCCGCCGCGGTGGTGCCTTCCGCTCTGGCGTTCCAAGATGGCGCCCTCGTCATTAAAGCGGCTCCTGCGCGAGAATATTCATCGACTCCCCGCGCTCGTATGTGACCATAATTGGGATTCGCAATGAAATTTCGCGTTCAAAGGGAATTCTTTGCCCCTCCCGGCACGTCGCGCCGCACAAACGCGGGCCGTTCTCCAAAATGGCGGCGGAGCCCTCCATCTTCCCTCTCGCGATCCAAGATGGCGGCCAAGGGGGCGCGATTACCTGCTGGCAAAGCAGCTCCTGCGCGAGGATATTCGCTATGTCGACGGGGTCCATGGCGGTGGCCATAGCCTCCTTCGGGCGTCGGTTCGTTCGAGTTTTCGTGGCGTTTCGTAATAGGGACGAAGACAGAGATCGCGAGTCGCCGAGAGAGAGAGAGAGGTCGCTCGGTTTCGGTGCACATGTAGACGCGGGTGGGATCGTTATGCAAATGAGGGAGTGCGGCTCGCGACGGTGAGAGAGGGAGAGAGAAAATGGAAGAGCGAGATAGAGAGGGGGGGGGGGCGAAGAATTGGCGAGAGAAAGATGGGTCGGTCGTTCGTTCGTAGAAGAGATCGGCGTCGGTTACGCGATCGGCGCTTCCGTCCCGACGGCGCGGCGTCCTCCGACGGCGGCTCTCCGACACTGAGGACGGGTGAGAGCGCCGCGACGTCGCCGGGCGCAGCCTTTAGCCGCGCGCGACGACGACGCCCGTCGACCGAAATAACCTCGAATTTTGAGCATGTGCTCGCGAGGTCTTTTTCTGCGCGACCCCCGCGCGCGTCGCGACGACGCGCGAAAGGACGTCTCGCGTCACGTCGCGGAATCCTTCGAGGTCCTTCAACGCCCTCCTCTCACTTGAGAAGAAAATTCGCACCAAGACTGCATAAAAAAAAAGAAAAAGAAAAAAAAATCGTTTCCAATAATTCCAAATGAAAAGTTTCAAATAAAACGTTTCAGGTATAAAGCGTTCGCGAGTAAAACGATTCAGGTAAAGTAGTTTCAAATAAAACGTTTCAAGTAAAGACTTTCAAATAATAAGATTCAAATGAAAAGTTTTTAATTAAAAAAAAAAAAAAGGTTTTTAAAAAGTACGTGTCGCTAATGAGCTTTACGGACGGTCGAAAAAAATTCGGAGAGCGGTCCATCCGCTGAATGGCGCGCCATTCGGATTTCGGTCTAGATCGGGAGCCACGGCGAGGGAGCCCCTCGTGTACGCACTTAATTAGCGTGCGCGGTCTAAGTTTAACACCTGTGGAGCGCGGCACTCCGAGGGGGATTCGCCCCTGCGAGAGAAGGGCCCGCGCGCGGCTTTGGCAGCGGACCAAGAACGCGAGAGCTCGGCCGCGGCTAGAGAGACGCCTCAGGACGGCCGGGCGGAGGAACGTCCACGGGGCCTCGCGAGGAAAACTCGGGGACGTCGCCGAGAGTGGCGAGACCGGAAACGGACCGACTTCCGGAGCCGCTATCCGGCCGAATTTCGGGGAAGCGAGGGGAACGAGGAAAAGAGCCGAGCAATGGCCGACTCTCGGTGTTATCGCCCGTTTCCAGGATGTGGGCGAAACACGGACGAAATGAATAAAATGAAATAAAATGGAATAAAACCGCCACTTCCACCGACCCGTGGAGGAAGAAGGCAGGAATGTACGTTTCAGTAGGGAAAAAAAAAACTTCAAAATCCAACATAAATGTACATAAAAAAAAAAGCGGCAGAGTCTCGCGCCAAGTACATACACAAAGTCGCGATGACCCTCGGCAACACCTCTTATCTCCGAAAGTTCCTCGTATGACGCGTCGGATTGAATGAGAAATATTTCGTTTTTTTTTTCTTCCCCGGATTGGTTATCGAACGTTCATGGCTACCTCTCGTCTACCGTCAGACCACGTACGCATGGTGGATCCCGGGCGATTATCTACCGATCG